TTCCTATATGGCAAATAAGGAGAAGTATTACCTCATTTTTTGCTGAAGAAATTGAGGCATACAAAAGTTATATTTGTTGAGAAATTAAGCTCACAGAGTCTTGCAAAATTTTACTTACAAAATTATAAGGGGGTGGAGTGGATAATGAGAAGGAATAAATAATATATAATTTAAACTTCAACAGTTTTGAAGACTGTATCATTCATGATAAATTTATTTGATGTTCAATGCTTATTGATTGATTTATTCCTTCATTCATATATTCATTAAACAAACCTTAACTGAGTCTTTATTAAATGGCAGGAGCTGTGCTAAGACCAGCAGTATAAAATTAAGTAAGACATGACCTCTGCCTTCAAATAACATTACTGAGGGTGAAATATAGATGAGTAAAATCTATGGTTAATTGTTAGGTAAGGAATTATGGTAGAGTTATACATACTGAGGGGGAATACAAGGAACACAGAGTGAAGGGGACTGGGGAGAGATTGTTTGGCGTGTGGGTGTGTGTAAGATAAGGAAACTAATTAAACTAATAACTGTTAGCTAGTACTAAGCTTTCCAGAAAAGTTTCTACTCTTCTTTACTTTTTGTAAATCATTGACATGGAAACAACATATTTTTAAAACTGAAAATTAATATTTACTTTTCATAAATGAATTGAGAATTCTCTCTGTGACTCAAAAAAGGAAAAACTCAACCACAGCCTGAAGCTTCTTTAATTTTTGCATTTAACATGATCTAATTTTTCAAAGTGGGTAGTCTTAATCTTCTTGAAGCCAAATTAATAACCTCTTAGAAGATTAAAAATGCATAACTATTAACATTAAGTGAGATTGCTTAAACTTTTTTAATCCTTATCAACAAATAAATGTATCTGTGGAAGTCAGAGAAATAGCTTCCCTGGAGCAAAACATTCCTAACAATTAGGTATCTTTTGTGGGGAACCCAGAAAAGGTATGACTAATTGTTTTCTTGGATTAAACTGAGGGTCCAAACAGAAAACAAATTAGGTACAGATGTTTAGTATATTGAGATTAATTTTACTTTCATGGGTACCATTTCCTTGACGGCTTGGACTAACAGCAATTTATTTCCAGAGAAGTGAATATGTGTCAAAACAACAAAGCCAGTCAACACACTTCAATAAATTTTTCCCATTTATGTATTTTGAAACTGGATAAATGTTTCTAATAAACAAAATGTCTAGCATTTGTATTAATAATGACTTTCTATAGAAGTAACATAAAATGCATTCATTCAACCAAGATATATTAGATACTGTGTTAGATTCTGGGGGATTCAAGAATAAATAAAACAAGGTTCTTGCCTGGGGCACCAATCTAGTGGGAAAGAGACAAGTAAGTAATAATTACAATATATACAAGATAATGGGGCTCTAATAGAGACATGGACAAAATACTATGTGAACATGAATTTTTCCTACTAATCAACCTAAGGAAAGACACCATATTATAGTTCACTATCACAAAAGAACAAAAACATAATAAATAACATAAGAGAATGGTTGATCTTTGGGTCAGTAATAATAACAATGACTATTTACTTGTTATGGCTGTTGATATTTTATAAAATACTTAGGTATATTAATACCACACATAGGTGTATGTATCTTACAGTAGGCTGGCCAACTTTAATTATCACTTAATATCTTTATCCATGATTTTTGTAAGCAACTTAAGAGCAGGACTCATCTTCATCTTTGTATTTCAAGGTCTAGCACAGTGCCTGTTACACAGTAACAGTTTTAACATATGTTGAATGAATGCATACATGCACATATATATGAATATTGATAATTACATGATATCACACTTCTGGGTTCACAAATTGTGAGGAGATTTAAGTGTAATAGACAATACTTGAAAAGAATATTTGATATCCAACATTTCAGAGAGATTCACTGAACAAAGGGATGTGAAGTTTAACAGGGATTGGTACTGAGAGTACTTATTTATAGAAGACATGTGATTCATTTTTTAATATTCTCTCTAGGTGTATGATTATGATACATAGCAGACGCTTGGCAACTACTAAAGTAATTTGATTGTGTAACTTCCACTCTCAAAGTTCCTAAGTAGCTCCCTGGTATTCAAGACCCTTCATTTTAAAAATGTAATTAAAAAAAAAATAGGTAGTGCATAGTACAAAAGCCTGGCATTGGCACACAGCAGATACTAAATGGCTGAAAATTAATGAGCGAAGATGTCCTGGGAAAATTATTCACATGTTTTAAAATGAGAATGGATCTCTACACAAAAATCAATTTGTTATGCATTAAAAGACTTTAGTAGAAAAGAAAATATAGGATAATTTAAAAACAATCTTTGCTTGGCTCTGTTGATTCTCCCAGCTGCTGTTCACTGCTAGGTTTCTTAGAGCCTCAACCTATACAAGCAGAGTTTAAGCATCTGCTAATTACTTGTTAGGAATTTGTACTCAGATTTTCAGATTCCTTCTCTGTGGTTTCCTTCTCTTCAGGATTTTGCCCTTCAAGTTCCAGCTGCTGTTAATACCAAACTCTACCTGGGTTTCTCGAGCTTACTAAGAATACTGCTTCCTTCCCGCTAGGGTTATATTCTTTTGCATTCCAATTTGTAAAATGCCTTAAAGGAAAAAGTTGGGATAAATTTCATATGCTTTCCTTCTCTGAATGATCCTGCCTATGCTGATTGTTCCCAATGCCTTCAAACAATATGTTTTATTCAGTTTTCAGATGTTTTTGGCAGATGGTTGTTCTAAAATAAGCGGTCATGGCTAGAACTTACGCGTAGTCATGAAAGTCTCTGGTTGGTCGTTCATTTTTGTGATTTCTTCTTTTATATCTTTAAATGTTCCTTCAATATTTATTTTACATGTGTTTCTAATGATGCCAGTATCTGATGTTTTTGATAGAGATCTGTTGATTATTTCTGCTGACTCTCATTATGGTATATTGCTTCCTCGCGTTTGGTAATCTTTCACTGTGAGATCATATTTGATCTGTTTTAATTTTGGGAATCCTGGAAGTTTAAGGTGAAGATATTTTCTCTAAAGAGAACATGTGTTTCTGTCTGTTTGGAGGCAAGGTGTGCTATGGACCTGGGACATATCATCTCCAACTATTCTATGAAAATTATTTCTAGACCCTTCACCATCTTATTCCCGTCTGAACTATACTATCTATGACATCTTAATAATGGTGCTTTTGCATGAAGCACAAAACCAAACACAATAGCCAGATTTGACCCAGACAGAGTAGAGTACTAAAGAATGATTACCACCCTTGTTTGGGAAGTTCTGCTAGTGCTAGTGTAGCTTAAACATGTATTACTGCTTTTGGCAAACATGCAAAAACAAACATCAACACAGAAACACAGGGCGAAATGCATAATTATCATAGTTGAAAGAACATGAAACTTGTTATTTCTGAAATCAGCTATGTAAATTGTGACATGCAAATCACAGTTCTATTTATTTTCTGACACTGCAAAAAAAAAAACCACTATTGAAAAGAAAATAAAGGAGAAACAAAAAGCACAAGGAAACATTGCACTGCATCTTGTGGGGAAACTTAACAGCCAGCATGTCTGGATGTGCACACCCCTTCTCTCAACCTTTTTCATATCATTCCTCTATAAAAATGTCATGCTGTTGGATCATCAATTTAAACTCTTTTTTCCACATGATTCACTTGATGTGCATTTAGTTTCCCCCAATGTACACTTCTGAAGTTGAGTTTTAAACCTAAATGAATCACAATGAAACAAATCTAAAGGGTATCAAATTCTTAATATTGGGGCTATTCCCAATCTGAAATGTTTACTTTTTTATGATAATGAGTTAAATGAAGTTATCCTCCCTGAGTGAATGATTTTAAGAGCTGACAAGCCTAGGTGAAAGGTTATAAACAAGTGAGCAGTAGTTAAAACTGAAATCAAAAATCAGGGATTTTTTAAATTACTGTAATGAAAAGCAAAATCAAGAGCAATAACGTAGGAAATAACCTGACAGACCTAACGGATAAGAGCATAGAACTAGCATATTCAGTAGTGTATCTTAATGTCAGTCCCTTTCTATGCTTTCAACTAATGAAAAGGTATTTTCCTAACCCCTCAATTAATCAGCTATATCTGGTTCACATTTTTAAATGGGAAATACCTCTAATGGTTTCTGCTGTATCTAACTAATTTTCATTGCTTTTTATTCCCAAAATACATAAATCTAAAATAACAAAGAGAAAAATACCAGGCACTGGAAATATATTTTATAGATCAAAATTTTATGGTGAGAAAAATTGCTTCCAAATATGTAAGTCTTCATATAAATTTAGAAGCTTCTCTTTTTTTTGATATGTTTAATCCTAACAAACTGAGCTCTTGACAATGCCTCTAATATCTTGAAATCATTTATATGCTCTAGCAATATAGTTTCAGATTTGAAAAAATTTGAAAATTCATTTCAGAAAATATATTTCTTTTATGCTCCCTAATGCCACATATTTTATGAGAGACTACAATTTTTTATTGTAAAAATAACACTCATAAAAGGAAGAAGTTTTAAACAATGAAGAGTATCAAAATGCATATGTGTTCCCAAAATTTAAATCCAACCACCCACTACTGACATTTTAGTGTATGCTGGGTTTTTTTTTTTTGTCTTTGCCTTTTCCCATGCATAAATTGATTTATAATATAGTTTAATATACTTTAATCGTATTATATGTATAATTTTGACTCCTTTTCCCCAACTTAACCTTAGATCAAGAAAAAAAATAATAAATTCCATTGCTTGAGGAACTTGGATAAGTAAAAGTAGCCACAGATGGTTATCTATGCTTACTTTCTGCAGTTTAAAGACTGTAATTTTTAGGGAAAACATATGAAATTAAGAGTTACAGACTTGTGATTTCTTTACCATCTGTCCATTGCACAGCTCCACAAATCAATTAACAAATACCACACAAAAGGTTTACACTTCACAGTAATTTTACTTCTTACCTTTTGAGCTGCAAGATGGAGGGCCGTTCTCTGGCTATGGTCAGTCTTATTAACATCTGCTCCGGCCTTCAGAAGAGTGTCTGCACAGTCTAGTCTGTCAGCCAACACGCAATACATAAGTGGTGTTCTCCCAAACTGATCTTCTTTGTCTTTAAGAGCAGAGTTTCCTATGCGTATAAGAAACAGTGATATTTGATCATTATTGTTGCTATTACTAATTTAACTAGGAACTACATTGACTGTTTCTTATCAAGTACTGTGCTAAATGCATTAAATATGTTATCTCATTTTTATTTACCCTACGATACAGGTATTACCATCACTATATTACAGGAAACTGAGACTCAGAGAAGTTAGGTAGCTTGTTCACATTACACTGAAAATGGGTGGTGAAGCTAAAATTCTTTACTATGTTGTGCTAAATTAACATTTTGAGATGTGAAGCTATTTATTTTCCCCCTTCAACTCCTTTTGTCAAAAAATACTAATTCAGTGTAGACCATACACTAGGCATTGTGGTATGTTTTTGAGAAATACAAAAATGAATCATGGTTGGCTTCTTGTTGTAGACAATATGGAGCAAGTGCATACTACCCTGATCCTCCTGCTAATATATAACTAAACACCCCAGGCAAAAGTGGTGAAGAGAAGGCAGATTGGTTAGGGAAATAAGAAACTTGAGGAACAACCTGGTGGTGAATTCATTCTTTTTCTTTTCCTTTTTTTTTTTTGCCTCCTATATATAGCCAGCCTGGGTGCTAAAGTAGCCCACTAGAAAACCAATTGGCACACACAAAATTCCTCAAGAGGCCTACTCTCTCCAGTCAAAATATTGGGAAGAGAGTAGCTCTGCAGGAGTGAACTCTTTTGACTATACTTCCTCAACTCAAAGCACACACAACAAAAGAAACTGTACCTCTTTTCCTCCCCATTGGATACTGCAGAGACTGTGGGGAGGAGCCTTATGAAGCACTGTGTCCTGAATTAAGCAAAGGATAGCAATGAGGTGGTATCTTACCCCTTCCCAACTAGAGAGAGGGGAAGAGTTATAGAGAGGAGGAAGCTGGAGGAAGCAGTTCTTTAAATCAGTGCATGATGCCATGGATAACTCTGAGCATCCCCTATGTGAAATTGACCAGAATCAAAGTAGCAAAAGCTTTGAGAATTGAACTCTGGTTCTAAACTGGCCTGGGGAGCACAGAAGTGGGACAAGAAAATAACTTGCAAGAGTTCTGAAAAATAACTTGCCATTTGAGCCACAGTCCACAAAATCGGAAGAAAATGCTCAGTCTAATACTGAGGTTCTGCCCAGGTTCTAAACTGGCCTGGGGAGCACAGAAGTGGGACAAGAAAATAACTTGCAAGAGTTCTGAAAAATAACTTGCCATTTGAGCCACAGTCCACAAAATCAGAAGAAAATGCTCAGTCTAATACTGAGGTTCTGCCCAGGTTCTAAACTGGCCTGGGGAGCACAGAAGTGGGACAAGAAAATAACTTGCAAGAGTTCTGAAAAATAACTTGCCATTTGAGCCACAGTCCACAAAATCGGAAGAAAATGCTCAGTCTAAACCTAAACAAATTGCCGATCTACTAGAATAGGAAATTTCTTTTTAATCGAAGTATAGTCAGTTTATAATGTGTCAATTTCTGGTGTACAGCATAAAGTTTCAATCATACATATACATACACATATTTATTTTCATATTCTTTTTCATTACAGATTACTACAAGATATTGAATATAGTTCCCTGTGCTATCAGTACAAACTTGTTGTTTACCTATTTTATATATAGTAGTTAGTATCTGCAAATCTCAATCTCCCAATTTATCCCTTCCCACCCTCTTCCCCCTCCATAACCATGTTTGTTTTCTACATCTGTGAGTCTGTTTCTGTTTTGTAAATAAGTTTATTTGTGTCATTTTTAAAGACTCCACATATAAGTGATATTGTATGATTTTTTCTTTCTCATTCTGGCTTACTTCACTTAGAATGATGATCTCCAGGTCCATCCATTTTGCTGCAAATGACATTATTTTATTCTTTTTTATGGCTGAGTAGTATTCCATTATATAAATACACACACACATCCCCACACACACCACAACTTCTTTATCCAGTCACCTACTGATGGACATTTAGGTTGCTTCCAGGTCTTGGCTATTGTAAATAGTGCTGCTATGAACACTGCAGTGCATTTATCTTTTCAAGTTAAGAGTTCCCTCCAGATATATGCCCAGGAGTGGGATTGCTGGATCATGTGGCAAGTCTATTTTTAGTTCTTTAAGGAAACTCCATACTGTCCTCCATAGTGGCTGCACCAATATTTGACAAAGACTTTAAAGCAACTATCATAAAAATGCTCTGACAAGCAACTATGGATGCTCTTAAAACAAATGGAAAAATACAAAGGCTCAGCAAAGAGAAAAAGATACAAGATGAACCAAATGAAAATTATGGAATAATAAATACTTAATAAATAAGCAAATAACCAAGTAAAATAACCAAAATAAAAACCTCACTGAATAGGCACAATAGCAGAATGGAGATGACAGAGGAAAGAATCACTGAAATTGATGACAGACCAACAGAAATTATTCAGTCTAAACAGCTGGTAGAAAAGTTAGAAACAAAGAGAATCAACAGAGACTCAGAGCTCTGTGGGACAAAGAATCTATCATTTATATCTTCAGAGTCTCAGAAAGAGAGGAAAAAGAATGAAGGGCTGAAAATATATTTAAAGGAATAATGGCTGGAAATTGCCCAAATCTGGTGAAATAGACAAACTTACAGATTTAAGAAGCTGAGGAAAGCTCAAGTAAAATAAACCCAAAGAATTCCATATTGAACCAGTCAAAAATCAAATTTCTGAAAACTAAATTTAAATTACAGGGTATTTCACATGAGAAACTATGGAGGCCAGAAAGCAATGACACAATATTTTTCAAGTGTTAGGAGGAGGGGGAAGAACTGTCAATCCAGAATTCTATATCCAACACTTGCCTAGGGTTGGGGGTTGGAGGGGGAAGAGGAGGAGTGTGTGAGGGGTCATAGCTAAAATGTATGGGTTTCTACTAAACATGTTATCCATTTGTTGCCGCAAAGCTGGCCTCTGTACCCTGAAAAAGGGTTGTGACTTGGAGGCAGATTTTGGGAGGGTTAAAAAAGCACAGCTTTATTGCTTTGCCAGGTAAAGGGGAATCATGGCTGGCTCATGCCTTAGACACTGTGAATCCATCTTGGGGTTGGGGTCTTGAGGTTTTATAGAAAACTGGATGAAACAGAAAAGGTGATAACAATCAGGGCATTTTACAGGGTGCTGCATTCTGTTTAACTTTGATGATCTTCCTGATGTCATGGAGGAACTCTGGAGAGTCTGTCCACTTCTCTGGGATTATTGGTGGCCCACTGTCTCCTTCCTGGTTAAAGTCATTGAGTGTAAGGGAAAATTTGAGGGTTTGTATAGCAGAAAACCAGTAAGGGAGAGAAAGCAAAATGCAGGCTTCCTCAGTCAGAAAGAATCAGCAAACAGTGTCAGCAACAGGGAAGTTAGTTAATTTCCTACTCCTTCACACTGACAGCCAGACACACAGTCTTGTAAAATACCCATGGGGGCATTCACCAAGACAGACCACAGATTGGGTCATAAAACAAAGGTTAACAGATTTAAAGAAGTGAATTCATACGAAGTATGTTCTCTGACAATAATGTAATTAAACTAGAAATCAGTAATAGAAAGATGGGGGAGGGTACAGCTTAGTGGTAGAGTACATGCTTAGCATGCATGAGGTCCTGGGTTCAATCCCCAGTACCTCCATTAAAATAAATGGTTAAATAAATAAAAACCTAATAACCTCCCCCTAAGAAAACAAACAAAATACTTTTAAAAAGAAAAAAAAAAAAAACCAGAAAGATAATGGGAAATCACTGAATATTTGGGAATTAAACAACACATAGATAATTCATTTGTTAAAGAGAAAACCTCAAAGAAATTTAAAAATATAATTATATTAATGAAAATAAAAATGCTTTTGTGAGATTTCCACCCTACACATGAGGAGGGCTCAAAAGGAAACACACAGCATTGAATACTTCTAATAGAAGAATAGCTTCAAATCAGTGATCTATGTTTCTACATTAGGAACCCCCTAAAAAAAAACTAGAAAAAAAAAAAAGTAAATTTAATCCCAGTCAGAGAAAGTATATAATAAAGATTAAGAACAGAGATCAATGAAATTAAAAATCTGAAAAAACACTAGAGAAAAATCAGTGAAGCTAAAAGTTGGTTCTTGGAAAATATCAATAAAATTGATAACTCTCCAATCAGACTGATCATTAAAGAAAGAGCAGACAGAAGTTTCCAATATCAGGAATTGAAGCGGGGACATCACTATAGAGCCTGTAGATATTGAAAGGAAAATGAGGGAATGCTATAAACAATAATTTTACGCCCATAAATTCACAATTTAAGTTAAATGGCCAAAAAATAGAGAGAGAGAGATCAATAGGACAGAGTTGAGAGTATAGAAATAGACTCATATATACGATCAAATGATTTCTGACAAAGGTGCAAAGGTATATCAATAGCTAATTTTTTAACAAATGGTACCAAAAAATTGGACACTCATATGTAAAAACAAAAAAAAACCCAGCAAAACCTTTCAACCTATACTTCTCACTATATATAAAATTATCTCAAAATCAATAACAAATTTAAATGTAAAACTTTTAGAAGGAAACAAAGGTGAAAGAAAATCTCTGTGACCTTGAGTTAGGCAAAAATTTCTTAGATATGATACCAAAGAACAATCCATTAAAAATTAATAAACTGAATTTCATCCAAATTTAAAACTCTGAGAGATATTGTTAAGAAAATAAATACACAAGTCACAAAAATTAGGAGAAAATATTTGTAAAACACGTATCTGAAAAAGCCTTCTATCCAGAATAAATAAAGAACTCTTACAAGTGAATAATAAAAAGACAGATAATGAAATTAAAAGACATCCAAAAGGTTTGAATAGACATTTCACCAAATGAGCATATGAAAAGATACTCAACATCATTAATACACAGGGAAATGCAAATTCAATCCACAATGTGATGCCATTCCAGCAGAATGGCTTAAACAAAAACGAAACCAAAGTTGTCAATACCAAATGTTTGGTG